AGAAGATTGGAGTTCCCGAACACTTCATTGTGCTCCCTGGGAACCTGTAGGGATCAAGAGAACAGTGCAAGGGAATACTGCCTGGCTTAAAGTCAGGAAAAGGGGTGGGTCAGGGTTGTATTCTTTTACCCTTCTTAGTCTGTGTGCCGAGCGGAAAATCAGAGAAGACACATTATATGAAGAAGAATGTGGTGTCAGGGCTGGAGGAAGGCTTATGAACAGCCTTCAATGTGCAGGCGACACAGCCTTGCTTGGTGAGCGTGAGGAGGACTTGAAGCGCTTGCTGATGAAGATCAAGGATTGCAGCCTTCAGGATGGATTACAACTCAGTGTAAAGAAAACACAAATCCCCACAACTGGACCTATAGGTAACAGGAGAAAAGACTGATGTCAAGGATTTCACCTTGCTTGGATCCACAATCGATGCTCATGGAAGCAGCAGGCAAGAGAGCAAACGATGCATCGCATTGGGTACATCTGCTGCACAAGACCTCTTTAAAGTGTTTGCAAGCAAGGAGTTGAGGACTTTGAGGACTGAGGTGAGCCTGACCCAACAAGCCATGATATTGCCCATCACCTCATGTGCACGTGAACGCGGTGCATTGAATAAGAAGGAAAACAGAAGGATTGATGTGTTTTAAGTACGGTGCTTGTTGAAAATATTGAAAGTACCATGGACTGTCAAAAAAACAAACCCAACTGTCTTGGAAGAAGTACAGCCAGGATGCTCCTTGGAGGTAAGGAGGCGAGACCAGAGACCACATCGCACGCACGCACGCACGCACGCCCCTTGGATGTGTTGTCGGGAGAGACCAGTCCCTGGAGAAGGACATCGTGCTTGGAGGAAGGCCTGGGACAAGATGAATTGACACCGTGGCTGCAACAAAGGGCGGAACATCAGAACGATTGTGAGGATCGTGCAGTGTTTTGTTCGGTTGCACACAGGGTCGCTGTGAGTGGAAACCAACCGACTCAAGGCACCTACCCACCAGAACACCACCGCACAGGGCGAGCAGTAACACAGGGAGGCGCACATTTCTACGAATGAGATCGAAGGAGCAGCGTTTGGGCAGAGAGAAAGGTCAGAAGGTAGGGGCCGGAAGAAAAGAAAGAGGGGCACCAAGGGAAGATAACGGACGAGTGCTGCTACATTGTGGGGTTGCAATTAATGTCCTGACACAGAAGATACATGAATCGTTACCTGGAAAACGAATTTGCTCCGTAAACGAACTTTTACCCCAATCACAATAAATAGTTACAAATTACAATTAAAAAAAA